ATCAACCTACAACTTATTTGCATGAAAAGATGAACGCGTTCTAACTTGTTCTGGCCCGACGAGCATTTATAAAAAGAGAACTATTGTTCACAGTTATCGGCTTATAGTAATTTCTTCGCAGCACATCCTGGACATCACCATCAGCTGGAATTACTCCATCCAATAAACTAATCACTTTCAAATTGTACTATCCACCTTTGTATAAAGTTCTGGCGGGTACTGGTCGGTTACGCTGTGATGAGGCGTTGTATGGATACATTTGAACACCTGGCTACTACGCCCTTACGCCTGTCAAAAAGATGGTGTCAGTGTACTCTGTCAAGTTTACTACACACGCACACACACTGAGAGAACGCCAACAGAATCGCTGCTCCAATACTTTAGTCCCTTTCATAAAAGACCACTTGCCTGACAAACTGCACCGTTTTTGCCGCGGTTTGAAGCTCAACGGTGCGGAATGGCTACATCTCAAATCGAGGAGGGAGTAAAACGCATTATTCTCATACCGGTCGACGACAGTGATAATAGTGAATATGCCTGGGAATGGTATCTTCAGTATGAAATGCAGAAGGGCGACAGTGTCATTTTCATGCATGTCCTTCAGCCCAAAATCACAGCCTCAGCTGAACGCCGCGGGAGCCTGACTCTGGATGTGCCGATCAACTTTGACAAGGACGTTGCCAAGGCCATGGATACCTGTGCCAGTGCTGCCAAGAAGATCTCTGCGCACTTCACAAAAGCGGCAAAGGACGCCGACGTACCCAGCAAGGTCCTACTGGAGTCAGGCAGCTCTCCGGGTTCGGTGATTGTGAAGGCTGCTCACGACCATGCTGTACAACTGGTCATCCTCGGCAGTCGAGGAGTTGGAACTATGCGACGAACTTTCCTCGGTTCGGTCAGTGACTACGTGGTCCACCACATCAATGTCCCGGTCGTGGTTGTTCCGCCAGCAGATTCAAAGTAAGAGGGTAGGAATCATTTGGAGGGCGGTTCCAGAAGGATGCTATTTTTGAAAGTGACACAAATACTCTCGTAAATATTAAGTACCGTTTTTTCAAACGTTACTACAACTTGAAGATATCTGCCATTATACATTATTTTCCTTAACACTTGTTGTAGAAATAAAGTGTACTTTTAAATCGGCTTCCTCTGCAACTGTGAGATAAGGTGGGATAAAATGAAACAAAACATACAGAAGCCCGCTCTTAGATTGTTTTGGGACGCCTGTACGCGATTTCAAACTTGTATTCGAGGCTGTAGAATTTTGGCTTTAAAAAATAGTTCCTTAACTAAATAAGTGCTGACCGCAGGGTTTCGTTGGGTTGATAGCAACCGGGTGACGACCCCTGTCTGCATTGACTTCTTTGAGTAGTGTCTCTAACATGATACGTTGTTGGATACCCAGGCTCCTGGTGTCCTGTTGAATATTTCACCGTAATCATGTCAATTTGCCTGCGTCACTCGAGTTCGTAATCTTAGCCATGTTTATGCCCCCAGATTATTAGTGTTTTCGGCAGGGCTTCATTGTGGGACTGCCTAATGAGTTGCTGTACTTGTTTTCTGGGTCTATAGGCTTCCTTTGCTAATAAAAAACAAGGATTTGCTCTAATAATTTTCTACGTAATTTTTGTTCTTCAGCAAGCTTTCAACCTAGGTTTTAGTGGAGTTAAACAATAACAAACGCCTTTACTTTATTTCCTACTGTGCAGTTATCACACACGGGCATTAGTAATGCATTAATTAAGCCTTAAATCGTTAACCACGAATTCCGTAAGACACTTGGGCTGGAAAAAGTTTGCCATTGGACTGCCCTACGATTAAATCCCTACCGCGTTTTCTTCATCAGCAGTTTACAAAGTTTATCCTTCTTCAGGACTATTTAGAGTTGTTAGTCATGAAGTACTGGTGCAACTGCGACTTGTACGTGCTGATGAGGATTACTCGAAATGCTACGTGTTCGAGTACCTACAGGTGATGTTAAACTATTGCGAAACGCAAAGGGAATCTACTAAGTAATTCCTCGATTTTAAAAATCAGCCGAATTCAGTCCATCTCTATATACTATGTAAATTAAACTGACCTCAGGGTATAACTTATAACTCTGAGCGACGTAACAACAAACACATTACTTCGACATAGTTATACCTCGGATTTGCTGGTGATAAGACTAACAGTTTCACTTCTATGTCATTAGCTTGTATGTTAGGAGGATACCGATGGGTCAGAGGCCATATAGAAGACTAAGATATAATTTCAGCGTGTTGTCGTCCAACACAATATTTCACTGGCCTTTAAATCTTCTGTTCCGCGGAGAATAGTGTTTCATTAAAAGCCTGTGACATTCCTATATGAAGAACGTTGTTAGAAAATATACCGATACATTCATTCCCGCTGTAGAGGCATTCGAAACGGTCGATTATCATGATACTCCGAGCGGCTTTTATTACAGAGTATTCGAAATATGGAAGTGGCTGTGGGAGTTTCATCTTTTCCCCCATTCGGCATCATAGATCTTCCAATTATTTTTGGTTAGCTCGTACTGATAAATTTCGGCCCAATCCGTTTCTTTACTAATTTAATTAAGAAGCCAACTTTTTAATAATAATAATTGTATATTTTAGGTCCAGGAACCCGAAATTACAAATTTAGTGCTATGATAAAAAATTAATACAAAGTTGGTACTCATGGTTGCGTCTGAGCAACTGTATGGATAACAGAAATGGGTGGAATGTTATGCATCGTAAGTCATATCCGATGCGTAATGGACAGTTATTTAAAAAAAAATAGTCAACCATATTTGGCAAATATGCAGAAATAAGAAAAGAAGTAGTGAAAAAAACGCCTATAGGACAAATCAGAGACGGAGTTCAGAGAGCCCCTGCTTAAAAGAAATATAGGATAAAAAAGGTTTGCGATGGCGGGATATTACATACGTGAATTTTTTTTAGAGCGGATGGAAATCCTCTTCGGATTTGACTTTTTACCGTTGCTCTGTTGCATTCTAGACCAGATAAGGGCAAACATATACAAGTATATCGGTCACTCATGTTAACCGATGCTCGCAGAGTGCAGTCTACCACTCCCTCTCTGTTTAAGGAAAAGTACATTTTCACCTACGGTTATGGAAGAAGTCACATAAGTGTCATAAAATATTGCAACAGATGAGGAACATGCTGTATACATTAAGGGCAGTATTACTAAACTGACGGATACGACGTATAATGAATGAACACCTTACAATCATAAAAAGTTCATATGTGAAAACATTTTGGAACCAAAAATAACCTTTCTAGAAGTATTAACTTTAAAGAAGGCGTAATTTTCTACCAGACGAATAAAATAAATATATATATTTCGTGTATATTTCCATAAAATATATTTGAATTTATAAAGGCAGTCAAAATCAATTATAAACTGGCATATTAATTACGAAGCTATCTTTTACAGTTCATACGTTTTGTAAGCGGTCAGAAAGAAGCTCCTTAAAAAGCCGGCACCCTGTCATGACTGAAATGACTTCAGAGTAGACTACATGATAATCAGGATTACAACTTTACTCAATGCCGCTTATCGAGAGAGTATCAATTTTTCGCATATGTCCACATGTTACACGAATTCTGGGCCGTACTGTAGGTAAATTTCTGTGTTTATTTATGGTGCCCTCTTTTGTTGTGAAAACATTAGATGATTTAAACAGTTTTAGGGACCCGACATAGGCTTCCACCGACATTCCTTCAGAGCTTATGCATTACTGGCTGTCTGGTATGTTCTGAGACAAATAGTATTAGTATTCCTATGCCTTCGTCGTTTTCATGTTATTCGAAGGAGCAGGTCCAACTGCAAGGCGCTCTTAGAGGATTTGCCACTATTTACTTCTAACTAGGTAGGGTGGCAGACATGTAATTGTACTTTCGTTTTTTAACTTTCAAAAAGCACATGTTTTTGCAACTTTTAACTGCTATCTTCCTCTCACCTTCTTTATTTAAATCTTTTTATAATTGTGTTAGATCCCAATTTTTTGAATACTGTACTTTTTTACCAAATGAGGTTTGCGTTCTGTTAATGACGTTGTGATGACTGTAGTTTCCGACGATGTCTCTTGAGTTTACAGAAACGGTAACTCGTGCGGGAATTAGTGCAGAGGGTAGTAGACTTGATTTGGTCCCATGTTGGATCAGCGCATCTACATCGTTGCCCCTTGCAACTGATACGATACAACTTTGGTGTGAGCATCGAACTATTGGGTCAGTACGCCTCGACTTAAACCGACAAGGCAGCGAACTCGTTGCTCAATGGTTGGAACTTAGACTCTGATCGAAAGGTCGCGCATTCAAGCCTCAAGCGGTGCACCACTTGGGTCTGGGTATGACTAGCTGACGATGGCTAAGTAAGCCAGGAGGAGCCATTCCAATTTCCCTTGTATTTGTCGGCAATCTATTTATGCTTAGACTACTAGCCGCTATGGCTGCTGTCAGAGCCCGAGAAATGAGACCCAAGGCAGAGCGAGGCAAGTGAGTTTCGTTAGCGGCTGGTAAGTGTTCATCGCTGACTGTAGATACTGAGTCGTTAAAAGAAACCTACCCTTTCACGACCTTAAGCCATATTTAAAAGAACATAATAACTTTTCGAAACGATATATACTCAATAATCCTTGAGTGCTTGTTTAGGTACTCCTCATTAACAAAGCACTGCTTTAAATTATTATTTTCATTTACTAAAATTATTTAAGTCTCCAGTATTCTTTGTGAATATAAAATAATCCGTGAGATGAACCGCGACGGATTCAAAAGGAGCAAAATCAGGCATTTTATATGGAGTCTGCAAGGATATTATTGGCTACTGCAAGTGATATACAAGAAAGATTATACAATTACTAGAATTTTTGTCAGTAGCAATGTTCCGTTTACTGTGACCAAATTTCATTTTGCCCAGAAATACGGACGCCATTCGTATAAAACTGGATGTTTTTACCATTTTCGCCAAACGGCTAGAAAACCACTTAAGACATGCTGGCAAATATGACATTTTGATGTCATTTTAACAAACATTAACTTAAAAATGTGGGAGACGTAGTAATATAGCTGAAACTTCCATTTATTTGAACCGCTAGTGCAGTCTTGGCTACATTAGACGGGTGCTTGCTAGGTGTACTTAAAAAGTACATTTGGTTTTTTTCAATATTAAACGTCTCCTCCCCAACCCCACAGATTCCAGTTTCACCCGACAAACCTCAGCTCCTGTAAAATATCCAAACTTTACCCATGAGAAAAATCTTCGATTTTCGTATTGTCGTCATCTCCTTGAGTCAGCCCTCGTCTGCACTTTTGTCCCGCTGGCAGAGTTGGCATACGTCACAACTTCAAAAACGGACCACACCCTTGATGCAGCCGCTCCAACTCCGTTTTGTTTGAATCCGAACCACGTGTTTGACTGCCGTTGTCATCGGTCTACCACATTCTGTTAGTGTTTTGGTAGATTTGTGTTATACACTTTTGAAAAGCTTCGCGGCCTTTGTGGGGTACAAACCCGTGATACCAAGTGCAAGGCTTGTATGTTGTCAGCGCCCTAACCACCTGGATTACGGGGCCACGGCTGGCGCAGGTTAATTGTTTAGATCTGTCAAAATAAACCTGAAAGAAATCTGGTGTATTTTTAATTGTTTGCTTAGAAAATTCAGCTTTGTTAATCAGTTTAGTGTAGCCAACTAGGCAGATAAAATCACTCAACTTGGATTTAATCCACGGATTCCGGTGGAGCCCGGTAACTCTGATGGTTAGAGCGTTGACTGAAGTGAAGCCTTCTGCCTTGGAACCGTGTGTCAGAATCTAATTGAGGCCACTGGGTTTTCGGCCTTAAAGAAAATAACTATTTAAATAGACTTTATGGTCCTCCGTTGAATTCTAAGTTCATTGCCTAGGAAATCCTCTTGAGTTGTACCCAAGATTTACTCTGGGTGTCGTAAGT